GTAGTAATTTGGACATGATTCGCAGCGGCGGCGCGGCGTTTCGTATCTCTTGCGATGGCACGAGTGGTATGATTGGGTTATCCATTATGGATTAGCGCCTTCTTTAGGACCAATGATGTAATGTAAAGTGACACGAAGTTCTGGCGATTGCGGAAGGTTGTTCGCGCCGACGGTCTCTATATCAAGGTAAATTTATGATGGAGATTTTACTATTTAAGCAATCGGGAATGTGGTCTTTAAGTTCCCGGCTATCCTATGTCGTTGGTGGGACCACGGGTCTGTGGGATTGGAACGTCTCACCATTAGGGTGCCAAGTGTATTAATCATGTGGGACGGTACCCCCCCGTGCTTACATGGTAGACGTGGATCGAGATCCTAGTACTTCACAAGCAGATGAGTTGAGGATATGGAGATGTCATTACTAGCGACGTCTCTGGATGGAGGACATCGTCTCTAAGCTGGGCCTCATTCGCTTACTTTGGGCCCCCGCCCGTCCGGCTGTTGCCTCCGTCCTCGGGTCGCGCCCCCTCGCGCTCCCCCCGCTCCGGCCCCGCGCAGCCCCCCGCAGCGCGACCCGCCCAGCTCCTTCTCCCCGCCGATGCATGTTCCGGTGTCAGGTCTACGGCCTCCGCCCAGCTCCTCGGACGCGCACGGCGCGGTTCTCTGCGCCCGCAGCAACTGGGACACACGCGCGCCGCGCGCGCCTAGCTAGAGCCGGCGCGCCTGCGCGGCCACTCCACTCAGTGACGCGCGACCTCGCCTGGCACCAGCGCCTGCCTCTGTCTCGCCCGGCTCCCATAGAACACTCTCGGCGCGCCGAGACCCGCGTCCGCGCGCGCCGCTCGGCGCGCGCCAGTCTGCCGTGTCGGCGCCAGCCGCCCGCTCTCACGACTCCGCCTACTCGCGCCACCGGCTGGCCCTCCCGCGCTCTGGTTCAACCTGACGTGCTCCTTCCCGCCCTCCGGGTCGCTCCTTCCAGCCCCCCGACACTGCTTTCCCCTGCGCACACCGCGTCACTCTCATGTGCTCAGGATGTCTCGCTCTACACTCCAGCTCTGTGCGATATGTCTCCCTCTCTCTCTCTGCCGCGCTCGAGCGGATCGGCCCTCGCCCGCTCTGTGCGCCACTGTGCTCTCCTTATTCCCGCCCGTGCATGCGGCGAATCTTGATGGAGTCATAAGCAGAAAGTGATGTACGGGAGCGCATTGTCAGTTCTGTCGGAACGCGTTTGGCAATGCTTCATAGCATGGAAAGTTTGTGTGACGTTTAAAAATTGTGGCGTACCTTGACTTGTCGTGACTTTATCGCAGGATATACTTGCATCTATTACTTTCGATTCAACTTTGGGTCTTCTGAACAATCGTGCCCGTGCCCTCTTTCTGTAGAGCACCGCCACGCTTCTCCATTGGGTCCTCCACCTCAAAATTGTCTGGCTCGTCTTTAAATCGCATCATATATGTATTAACGTCGGGTTTACAGATTGCTTCAATGCGAAGAGCGTGCAGGTGGCAAGAGTGAAGATTCGGATGATTGCCGGCTGTAAGAAGTAGGCAATGGTCGCTCCACGTCGCCATTGGTAACCGCAAGGAATGAGGAGATTTGCCTGCACGACGGTTTTCGTGACGTTTTTGCACAGGTCGGCATATGTTCTTTTTATGTTTGATTTTACTAATCTTGGCAAATTTAGGAAAGCGCTTCATTGGAGGTGCTGTGGCGCAGTCAGCTTATGGAGGGCGGGGGGAGAGTGGGGATGGAAAATGCTTCGGTAGGGAAATCAGAGTGAGAAGTGGTTTGACGTGTCTCCGTATGAATGGTACAAGCTGAATGGGTTGTAAAGGCCAAAATTTTTATGTGCGTCATACTGGACTGTGTGATCAGGGCCGTTACTGAATCAGCAGTAGATCTTCGAGTTCTTGGGGAAACCTCAGGTAAGTATTTGGGTATACCGGCAGTTCTCAGAAGGCTCCTTTCATGACTTTGGGCTTGAAAGACATTCTCATGGAAGACGCCTCACGATGCTTTATGAAAGTTCAAGGGCACTAGCTCGGGCGCTGGCTCTCTCTGCTTGTTATATCACCACGGCACGGCGCCAGCTCGTGATAGGATATTATTCTTCAGTGGGGTCGTGTGATGTCTTCCGCGTCGACAGAGTATGGTTGTCTAGGCGGCGAGCCCGTTTCTTCGCAGCGGGTAGCGACTGTATCGTATTCTATCGTTATCAGTTTTTTTTTCACCAATTCATTGTCGGCCTGATCGCTTCAACAACTTGGTGGCGAACAGTGCTAGGGCTGCGCCAGGACTCAGGCTGCCTCTGACTGCCCCGTCATCGGAAGAGCTGCTTTCGCTCAAGTGCATTAATCTTTTTTTTTCGAAAGACTTACCATCAGATAACTTTTAGGCGAATGTTCTTCAAGTTGTGCGGAAATCTCTCCGTATGCAATCTCTCGCAGTCGTTCGCTATTCGTTCGATTCCGATGGCGCGCTGCCCAATGCACTTTCCCCAGATCTTCGGCAAGGCGGGTTTCTCTCTTGTAAGGTGCGCTTCCGAATTCTGCGGAGGTTGGTACACCGATTGGCGCAGTGCTTGCATCGAGCGTGTCCTACTTTCGCGCGCGGTTCTAGTCGTACCAGATTTGCTATGCGTGTTGGGATTCGTTGTGGAGCGCTGTGTGTTCGGCAGTTTTACCTTGCTAATTTTGACTGGATTATAGAGATAAGTGCGCAAGTCTTCGTTGTTCGTCGGTTAGTTTTATTTGACCTGTGACTGCGGGGGTTAGGAAGAACACGTAACAAATGATCCAGTATTTGATAACCGTGAATGCGCGTTTCAATATTGTATCGGTGTTGTTAGGTATCTTCAGAAAAGTGATCACAGAGAACTCCATCAGACGAGACACTTTGTTCAGCCCTGTGCGAAAAGTTCGAATTCAGTCGAACGTCACGACAGGCGCAGTCTCCTTGAGAGTCTCTGTGCAGCGTGTCTCCGCGTTTGAAATAGAAAAGTTCCACCAAAAAGCTCGAGATGCGCAGCGTACTTGCTTTTTCAGGCCTCGCATACCCGACTTCTATTGAGTCCGCCTTCGCGTCGGCTCGGAGGGAAGAAGCGCATTTGAAGTTGGGGAAACCAGAACCACAGAAGCAGTTCTTGACGTTCAAGGATTTACCACTGAGTCTACTGCGCTGTAGTCGAAATGTGGGATTTTCCGGCAGCTGGTCCCTGCATCACTGGTCGGAGGCTCGCTGCTCAGGCAACCAAAGCTTCTTACCCTTCCCCCACGCCCCGGGACGGTACAGTTGGCGGCGGCCGACCAGATTCGTGTTGGGAGGGTAAGGACTGAGGCTTGTTCAGCATCGGCGCTGGATCGTCTGGGTGCTACTCATGTGTGAGTAGAAGCGTGCCGCCCCTATAATGGGATTGACAACTGGCGAATCTTTACCATTTATCCTTTATCCTCGCATCGCCAGGCTGCGTCTCTCGCTAAGCTCTTCATTCGCCGGGAGATGGGTAGGAACTGTGGCTTGCGGCGAGGTCTTTACACGCGACGGCGGCTGCGGATTTACTGTTGGGGGATGTTTGACACGTTGTTGGTGACAATGGTGAACATATTCATTGCGTGCACCGGTTCTGTTGTCCTCATGAGCAGGATATACCCACAGATCACCATCCGCCATGTTTAACGGAACATGCGCCACGACCACTTTCCTCCCTCCACGATATGGAGCACAGGGCACCCCGCTGTTCGTTTTGAGTGAAAAGTAGCATACAATTCGCCTTCGAGAAATTTCAGTCTTCTGTACGACATCCCGCGCTTCCCAGGTTACTGCGCAGTGTTCCTTGACAATTCTCCAATCTTTCCTACCGTTCCTCACTTGCGGATGCTCCAGTCTGCTTTTTTCCTCTGGAAAAACGACGTCGAGTGGGAGTATTATGAATTGAAGAAGGGAGAAGCGAAAAAGGTCAACAGGTTAAAGGATTTCTTTTAACTGCAGTTTACGCGACCCGCCCTTCAGGGATCTCTAACTACGATTCTGATGGGAGGCTACAACGAAAGTTTCCTCTGTAACTCAGGCAATTTTCAGGATCCTGTTGGAAAGCATTCCCTCGTACCGCAGCACACGCGACGGGTGCACGTTGTGGTCAAACGCATAGGGTGGGAAAGCAAAATTTTTGGGAAAAGTAGGAACATTCCCGGGGAATTCCGGATCCTGGAAAAAGTGGTAGGAAGTTGGAGGAAATCTAAGAGATTTTCCCAGGGTTTCACATTGGCTTGTACCTCCTCCCCCACAACGGAAAATCTCGTAAAAACTGAAAACGGGAAATTGGGTAAAAACTGAAAACGGGAAATTGGGGAGTGTTCGTACTGACAGCGCCACTTCACCATCACGATGCTGTACCCTGACACCACGTACCCTTCACCTTATGCTTCACTCGGTTCAAACTTTCTAGTCCTGTCAGCATCCCATTTTCTGAGAGGAAAAGCGTGCCCGTGTTGAGTGGACGCCTTCACCGCGGATGCAGTGCTTTTCCTTGCTTGCCTTTTGCGTATTTTTTGCTCGTTCTCACCCACATACAGTACCCTAGATCGAACAAAAAATTTGGAAACCAGCAAGATGATCAGGTCTGCAGAAAAAGACTAAAAGAATATTTGCCGTATTTGGACTTTTCGCGCGCGGTGCCGCGCGCGTATAAGATACAAGCGAACAAATGCGACTTATATCCCAGAAATTAGAGACCAAAAACGCTTAAAAGATGCATCGACATGCAGATGCACGTACCACGATATGCTCTACTTCAAGCATACCTGAATAAATGTAATGAAAAGGAAATGTCAGTCTTCATATAGGTTCCTCGACCCAGCGTTATTACTTCCGTTTTCGGAAACAACAAAAAAAAAACAAGGAACCTTTATGCACTCACGATTTTACATTTTGGAAATAGAAAAAATAGCGTGCACAATGTCAATCACATTTCAGAACGTCTACCATATTCCAGGCGTTTATCAATAATTACAAACAAGTTTCCAGTAAACAACAAAAAGTAACGGTAATGCGCAGTAACCGTATGAAGGGGTCGCTGCGGTGGGCAGATTACAGTAATCCGAGCTGCAGCACCTGTTTGTGCATTGGATGTTGTTCAGCCCCGTTGAAGTGAAGGTTCCGTCACTCTGAAAAATACACTTAATTTGTGGATCCTGTTGAATACAAAAACAATTGAATAGGTCAGCTTGGGGAAGGGCATTTTCTCAACACCTGACAAATTACTGTTCAATTAAGCCCTGTAAAATGTCACCAGGTGAGGGGCAAAACTTGTTAATTCGTGAGAAGTTGCACACCTATGCCGGAGTCATAATGTTTTTTCGTCCCCTCCCTTCTTTCATCCTGCTTATTTCCAGATTCTATGGCCTCACAAGAAACACAATTCCCACCATTTTGTTGGTTCATAGGGGCTAGCAGGACTTCATGAAATTGCCCGGTATGCTTATAATAACATATGAATTGCCTTCTTCTACAGGCGGAACTCCGACAACAATTCTGTAGTCAGACCTGTTTGGAGGATAAGGCAACACTCTCGAGAACGTTAGGAAGGCTTTCTCAAGCCACAGCTCAAGCCAGTCAAGAAAGCACGCTTCCAAAATCCTTTGTGATATCCCATGGAAGATGATCCTCGCCAAGGTGAATGGGCCCTCCGTTTATTAGCGTGCCCAAATGTGCACGCCGGTCGAATCGAAGTGACACGGACATCTAACGCCCAGACCGAATCGGAAGAAGGTCCCTGTATCAGTAACACAGCAACGTTCCCGTGGCACTGTTGAGCAGGGAAATGGGCAAGTTCATGCAGCTGCGGACCAATTCGCACATGGCACGGGCCGGTGTTCACGGATGAAAGTGTATACTTTGTCTTTAGGTGTGCTCCACATCCCGAAATTCGTAAAATTTCGTTCACTTCAAACTTTGGACAGTTGTATGGAGGAAGAGCCACTGTGACTGAGGATATTCGGTTAATTGATTGGGACATTGGGTGACACGAGAGATTGCGCGACGGGAAGGTGTACGTGTCGATCTGGAGACTGGGGAGAATCGACGAACCGGCGTTCGAGCGATTGAGCACCAAGCGATCGGCGCTCGTCTCTAGCACTTCAGCGATTCGGCGAGTGCGGGGTCGATCGATACCCCTCCACTTCTTTGGTAATCCCCGACACACCGAGTCGCGCAAATCACCGAAACTCCGTCGCAAAAGATGAACGCCGTCTTGTGGATGGTGAGAAGCCATGACCAATACACTACTGAATCTGAGGGCAGAAAGGATGTGCTACTGCGGAAGAATAGTAAGCAGCAATAGCAAATCATAGGTTCTTCGGGTTCCGACTGAGGCGATGAGCCTCGGAGCGCTGCGTTCCCTGCGGCAAACTTAACACCATTACTGCGATCACGAAGAAGAACTAGAGCCCTTACCTTGCAAAGTGCCACAGGGTTCCCCATGATATCAAACATTCGATCGCAAAACATGTTCGTCGTTTTTAAGTCGCCCATCCACCATTCTTGCCTGAGAATTACGTTTTAACGACGCAAAAAAACCCGCTAAATCACAACAATATTGATTATTGTTCACCTGACACAATACTTGCTTCCTGGACATTCACTCATCACAAAACCTTCTCTCATTATCACTCCGCTTTGTGTCACTTGTTCACCTGAAGGAAGACTATCAAAAAAAATCAGCGACACAGCGACTGTTTAGTACAATTTATCAAACCAACTTCATCATTTAGACAACGTTCAGACTTGGCGTCGAGCTGCAATGCGATGTAACGCGCTTCGACGCGCTCTCAATGCAATCGGCAACACTATAGACGGTCTCCGGAAAGCTCAACTCAATCCCCTTGCGCCAACTTTCTGTTCTTCTCTGCGCTCACGTCTGCAGGACATTGTATGACCACTATATCTTGAACGTTCCAACTTATCACACATGAAAAGCGGCCCATCCACCCTCCTGCGCTTCGGTTTATAGTACTGTAGCGTACCTGCATTGGTAGCGCATTGATGCGCGTTACAGCGTCATCGCGAAGTATGAACGCACTCTTGCAACACCTTTTTCGAAGTTTGGGTCAGAACCGATTTGTCTAAAAACTGGCCAGCCGGGGTAGTTGGACTCCTCGAACACGCATACCACATCCGCAGGGGTCTCGAGGGGTCTCGAGGTTAATAATGAATGAGAAGGAAGGGGTGTACAAGTGACAGCGCGACCTATTAGGTTGTCGCATAAGTTCTTATACACGACTTTTTTCGTAAATATCTCAATAGCGAACCAACCTGAAGATTAGAGGTATGCATCCATCACCATCCACTACTCGACGCCAGCGCTCAGGCAGCTTGTCGATTCCTTCCTTCCAGAACGACGGGGGCTGGGACTTGAAGAAGTCGTCGAGTGCCTTTCTGACCTGATCCTTTGTTTCGAACTTTTTTCCGTCCAGATAGCGCTGCAGGTGGCTGAACAGCCAGTAGTCAGAAGGAGCGAGGTCAGGGCTGTAGGGAGGGTGGGCGACCATCAGCCATCCGTACTTCTCCAGCTCGGCCTGGGTCGCCTTTGCAGTGTGAGGTCGGGCGTTGTCATGGTGGAAGTAGATTTCCGCATTCCTTCCACGAGTACGGTCGACGTGATCTTTCAATTTCCGCAGCTGGGTCACGTATGTGGAAGCGTCAATCGTCTGTCCCTTCTCCAGCAGCTCCCAGTACTCCATGCCTCTTCTGGACCACCAACAGAACAGGGGAACCATTTTGGTGTGAAGGTCGGCCTTTGAGGTGGCTTCTGGCTGTTCTCCTTTGTCGACCCACTCCTGCTCCCTCACAGGGTTATCGTAGAGGACCCACTTCTCATCTCCAGTGATCATCGAGTTGAGAACGCGAAGCTTCTTTTGTGAATCGTTAAGCAAAACCAGGCAGTGGCGCAGGTACATTCTGTCACAGTGCAAATTGTGCGACATTGTGTACTGCAAATGCAAGCTCGGTGAGTGATAGCTAGTGTAATGAAAGAGTATAATGTACACGTCACGCACACGTGATGACGTAATACCAACATCCATGCGAACGAAATAGGAGAGGATCAAACACGTGTATAAGAACTTATGCGACAACCTAATATTTCCCCGGGACAATGATCGCTTGCTGAGGATGAGCTGAGCCTCAGAAGAGAAACGTATCTCTACCTCAAGCGACCCCAGAAAAGGTGCTGCCAAACTGATCCTGCAGACAAGTTTTCAAGTAATTTGGTGATTCAGGGGTTTTTTTGCAGACGTAGGGCAGTTTCGGTCTTAGCAGATGGGATATACACGTTCGGGGGAGGGGGCAAACTACCCCCCAGACAAATTTTCATCCAACTCTGCTCTCGGAGAAAAAAGTTGGTAAAAAAGTGTTCTGATTCTGGAACATTGTGGCAGTAAAGAGTAATTAGTGCCAGATGTTTCGATATCTATGGTTTCTTCCGTAAGGCTTATTTCTACAAAAACACATCTCCCACGCCAAACATTCGGCCCCTCATTACGGATGCGACTTTATGCGTGTGAATCTATGTGGCTGCTCTTTTTGCCGAGCCATTTTGCAACGTCAGAACCAATTGCTGCCAAACTTATTTTCCAAACGAGAACCATTAAGTTCTCGCGCGTTATTAAGCAGTTTCCATTAATTCATTAATTACATTTGAGACAATTGCCCCCTCCCCCACTGATTTCCAAATTTTCGTCGTCCTGTCGGTGGTAGACGGTTAATAAAGAACTGATTGGCCCAAGCATGCGAAATAATGTATTCCACGGGAACCTGCACGTAAAATTTGTTCAGCACTCCTCCCTCCCCTCCTCTCAATGTATCCTGAAACGCTATTTTGATCGGTTTCGGTGGCACACACCATCAATGAGGCATTTGAATATGCACTTTGCCGGCAAAAAGAATGAATAAAGGAGAATCAATACCTCTGCATTCTGCAGCAAGTCGGGTGTCTGTTGGCCTACACTTGCAAAGCTCTTCTGGCCGAGGGCCAACTCAATCCCACTGATTTCTTGTTGGCCATGAGATCGAGTCGCTCCTTGGCCAATCGAACCCTCCAACAGTGGGAAAATCGACACATAATTTGTCGGAGATTTCGATTTCAAATACGCCCATTCGAGCAACGGTACTTGGGCTGTGAGTGAACGGCGCTTCTTTCCACCACCGTTATCCTACCACTGTAAGGTCCTCATTCTGGACTTTCATTTCAGCTTCGACGAACACTGAGAGGAATCAAGCGGCAAGACTTGAAGGAACCGTGCCGAGCTCCTAGTTCCCGCCAGCGAGCTCGACCTCAAGGTCTTAAAGGCGCTGGACATAGTTACAGGAGGCGAGAGGTTGATATCTCTCCCTCTATTTAGCGTTGTTACGTTATCATTATTGTAACCTTTATGAACATTATCTTTTACTCGTTCTATTGTACGAATAGCCTTGTAAGCTCCAATATCGCTATCAGTAGGCTGATCTGAGCGATTGTAAAGGTTTCTCGCACAACATTTCCTTATCATGTTTATATCTCTTGCAAATGCCAGCATGCTCCGCCCATTTGACCTGCATAAAAGGAGCCCTGGTGAGCCGAGCTTCATAGTTTAATTCTTTCTTACTGTGTGGCTTTCGCAAGACAAACGTTTAATTACCCAGTTGCGGTTGAATCATCCAGACGACATAGATGTCACGTCATTGGTGGACAGTTCTCGCGTGAAGCAATTCAGCTACATCCGACCCCCACTTCTTGCTTTCACCAATTAACATTGTTGAGCAATTGTTCCGCCCACAACAATATGCTCACTACCTTCGAGGGAATTTCAAGGACATTAGAGACATTAAAACCATCCTGATCGCACTGTGAAGGACCCCCAACTGGGATGCAGAAGTCGTTGACCTCATGAAACCAAAAATACTACCCGACAACTGAAGGAAAATGAACGATGGCAATGAACAAATATTTGCCCAAAATGTCTAAAGGATAAGCTGCTTTCAAACCGTTCGCTTCTTAGCCATGCGTGATACACATTCAAA